TTTTTATATTTTTTAAAATATTGGCCAATACCCTTTGGAGTTTTACAAACATGTTGTAAAATCCAAAAATGCAAGAAAACAATTTTCGTTGTGTTTAAGAAATTCATGCGAAAACACATTTTTCAAAAACTTCCAATATTTTTTTGTATAAAAAAAAACGTTCAAAACATGTTAGGGTATTGGCCGTATGCAACACACAAGCAAACTTTTAAATTTTTTTTTATCGAAGAAAACAAGCATCACAAATAAACACAAAAGAAAAATCGCAATAAAAACTAAACAACCATCATATATATTCTAAGATTTATAATAAACTTCAAGCAAATAAAAAAATCAAAGCCAACTCAATGCCCAACAGCAAGCACAAAATAAAATTATGCGCAATTACTAAAAAAAAGGAGTGCCGGTTGATTTATTCTCCATCGAGTGTAAGGAAAACAAAAGGAAAATCCTTGAATCCAAAAGTTCCTAAACATGAATAGGCAAACCCTTTTTACATGGACAACAAGCTGAACTCAAAAATCATGATAGAAATAATAGGCAATGCGTTGTTTTTTTTTTTAAAAAAAACATAAACCAATTATTTAGAGTGAAGAAACAGCTTTAACCGAATGCCTAGTGAAAAAATAAAATACAAAGGAGGTTGTGAATACTGTTCAAGTGAATTAATTCACTTGAACAGTGCAAACTTAAAAGCAAAAAAATGCATGCTGCAGGATGAAAGAAAAAAAAACAGACCTGGGAATGGAAAACCGAATGCCTAGTATAAACAACAATACAAAGGAGGCTGGTGAATACTGTTCAAGTGAATTAATTCATTTGAACAGTGCAAACTTAAAAGCAAAAAATGCATGCTGCAGGATGAAAGAAAAAAAAAAACAGACCTGGGAATGGAAAACCAAATGCCTGGGAACGGAATTGAAGAAGTTGCAGCGACGTTGTTTGTCTGGGAACGGAATTGAAGAAGTTGTGCCTCCTTAGCTATTGGTAGATGACGGGAGAAAATAGAGATGCTGAAATGAACGAAATAGCTGGTTTCCCCGTCGCCTGCCTCTCCTTTCTCCTCTCTGTGTTTTTACTAACTCCCTGCCCCTCGTTTTTTTCTTTCTTTTGCTGTATTTGTTTTTCTTTCTTTTATCTCCATTTCTTCTCTTATTTTTCTACTCTCCTTTGCTACTCTTTTTTCTCTCTTCTCCTCTCTTTCTTTTTCTACCGCTTTAGGTCATTAGAGGG